AGAGAAGAAGACAAAGGAGGAGGAAGAAGAAGAAGAAAGAAAAAAGAGAAGAGGAGGAAGAGGAAAGATGGAGGAAGGAGGAAAAGGAGAAGGAGAAAACAGAGGGAGGGAGGGAGAAGACTAGTAGTAATATATTCAGGAAATAAGAGGGATGAAGCAACACAAACAGCTCTTGAAGACAAAGCAAAGCAAAGCAAAGGAAAGCAAGGTGGTGGCCAGAAAGCATTGAAGGCCAAGCGATTGTGCTCCCATCTGCCAGTCACCACTTCTCCATTACAGAAGAAACAGGAGGAAAGCACAAGTGGTGCCTAAATGGGATGAAACCTGTCCATTTGCCCACTCACTTCCTATCATGGTTAATGGGAGACATCAGGGCCCATTTATATTCCCTTTCCAAAGTGTAGTCACAGCCAGCATTTCCCTGATCAGGATGCCATGTGGACTCCGGTCAGAGAAGGCCAGAAGCTGCGTGTTTGGTCCAGATCCACAGGTTATTTGACAAATCTCGCCCTGCCTCCTGATCTCTTTTCCCCATCCATCTGTTGTGGATTGAGACAACGGCTTTCGCAGAAACACACAGCTTTGTGGGGATAGAAAATCTTGACGATTTTGTCCTCACATGCAAGGATGAATAATTGATGTAGCATGTCCCTCTGCAGCATTCTCCCTATATTTGAACACTCCAAAGTATTGCCAAGGAATTATTTTGCAGAGAAAAAGATACGGGGTTTTGGTAGAGAAAACATATATCCTGTGCAGCAAACAGTACTTTCTCTACAAGAAACTTGATTTCTGTGAAGAAAGCATGGTTTTATGGAACCCTTCCACATGTTTTTCTTTGTACAATCATTCTTCTGTACAATATAATTAACATGCATACATAGAAACCATAGTACAGTCAGCCCTCCACATCTATGGAGTGAACCATCCACAGCTTGAAAATATTCCAAAAATATATAAGTTCCAAAAAGCAAACCTTGATTTTGCCATTTCATATAAGGGACACCATTTTATGTAAAACTGTATTTAATGGGGCTTGAGGATCCATGGATTTTGGTGTCCACAGAGGATCCTGGAACCAAACCCCAGCAAATACCAAGGGCCCATGGCATCCTAGTATGTTAGGGTTGGAAAGGACTACAAGGGTCATCTAGTCTAACCCCTTTCATGTGGGAATGCAGAACTACAGCACTCCTGAGAAATGCCCATCCAACCTGTTTAAAGGCCTCCAAAGATGGAGAGTCCACCATTTTCTAAAGCAGTCAATTCTGCTTTAGAATGGTTCTTACAGTAAATAAGTTCTTCCTAATGTTTAGGTGGAATATCTTTTCTTATCATTTCAATCCATTGGTTCGTGTTCTAGCTACATGCGCATCATTTTATGATATGCAACTGGTGAACAGGACATTGGGCTGGATGTTCTCTAACAGATGCAAAAAGGGATGGCTGGAACGCATCATGTGCAAATGAGACTCCCCTATGTTTGTGGATTTAAATTCCAAGTGAACAATGTCCTGATGGATCTTCCCATCCATGCAGCTTCTCTCTCTTTCTCTCTCTCTCTGTTGTGCTTCTATGTTGATGCTCCATGCATGAAAATACACCACCTGCCATGGCTGGCTGTGGCTTTCAGACTTTGGCACCATGGTTGTGGTGTGTTCGACAAGGGCAAGAGCCGGAGAACACACCCGCAGCATAGCGGTTTCCAGGCCCAGTGGGGGAACCTGACAAAACCAAGCTGATTTCCAGACACGAATGAAGTGTCTCGTTTCCCCCATGACAATTCCTTGTAGCTGTGTTTTGTGGTTGCTGTTGACTGGGGAAAGGGGGAACACAGAGATCTCCTGGGCCAAGGTCATTTTGTGTGCAAAAAGTGCCTTCCAGGCCTGAACGGTTTGCAATTGCAAGATGTGGAGCTGTTGGGCCGAATTCTCCATGTACTTCCAAGCTCATGAGACTTTTGAGTCTACGTTCTAGGGATGAGATTTTATTTTAAAATGTACTTTTTGAGCACTGAAGAGGGAAATCATATGGCTAATTTGCAGGCACCTGCATTTCTCTTTCTGGATTATTTTTTTCTCAATGTACTTGTGCCTGTCACTTAAGAAATCATTACTGAAGCTGTTTTTCACCGACGAAGCTCACAACCTAACTTCATCTTGCCAATTTCCATTATTATTATTATTATTATTATTCCACTCTTTCCCCAGAACTGGGACTCAGAGCAGTTCAACAATATTAAAAGAATACAATACTATGCCAAGGGTTGCCAACTGAGTGGTGCTGCAACCAATATCCCATCCTGCCCCATCCCCATGAGTTGCAACTTCACCAGAGAGCACCCAAATGCTTTATTACCATCACCCAAGTAAGTTCAACAAACTGGGTATCTCCTTTAGATTTCATGCTAAAACCCAGAATGGATTCACCGACTCGCCAATATGGGACTCGCCAGCAGTGCCTACACAGATTAATCCTTATTGCATTGAACAGGCTTTGCATCTGAGCCCAAGATCGCTCCGCATTTAGATGCTTTTTTGGCCAGTACACAAGATCTCTGACTTCCCCGAGGCACTCTGGGATAAAGAGGCAATAGCCATTCTCCATTACAAAACCCATCAGCAATATATGAATCCACTTCTTGCACTGATTGGAAAGAGCAGAAGTGAAGTCAAATGCTCAAGTCTTTAGAACCCCAAAGATGGAGATTGAATTTTGAGGATGCACTAAGTGTAATCTAGGATGTGACCCCCCCAAAAAAAAGGGGGTATCTAGTTTGCATAGGAGAGGAGGGACCTGTTGGTATCTGCCAAGATTTAAATGACACCCCCCTTCACCATAAACAGGTTTTGTTTTGTAGCTGCTTTAACTGTGTCAGGTGTTTTATTGTGTTCTCTGTCAAAATTCGGAGCGATGCTGTTAAGTGAGCAAGAGGGAGCTCAGACGTGTGCGTTTCTAGCTGCCTTAATAAATCTGCTTCTTTCCAGGAGGGGAAAGGAGAGACTGAAAATGAAGACATACACACCTGATACGTCTTTGTGTTGAGTGGGGAGTTAATTCCCCTTTTGGAAAATGGGACTCTTTCACCAGCCGCCACAAGGTCAGAACCAACTCGGATTATCCGTCCTGGTGAAACAGGGAAGGGATGTGATCCTTCCAAATCCACAAGCTGCTTGGAAGGATGAGCTCCAGGTGGCTGGACCTGAGTATTACCTTGTCAGCTAACTTCAGGAACTTTTCATTGAATGAAGAAATCATACAGCCCTCCGGGTAGGGTTGGATCAGCAGCTTTTGCACATTTTC